GGGCCCATTTGCCAGGCAGACTTCCTACAGGTTCATAGAGCAATCTGTGGGAGCAGAAATCCAATCTGATGCCCAACCAAATACAGCATGCAAATTGGCTGCTTCCCTGAGAGCAGCAAAGACAGGGTCTGGGTCAGCTGAAGAAGATGAAACAAAGCTTTCCGCGGGGGTGGGCCACGCAGCAGATTACAGCATTATTTGTTTAAACCTTGGGATCTGTAAGCATGCACAGTCCTCTTGACTTGTGCTGCCTGGCTGTAAAAAGAACAGTTGAGCGAGCTCATTGTTTGGGGCCTTCTTTCTTTAATGTATTTTACAAACACTCTCGGTGACAGGCCTGACATGCAGATTTCTATGTACTCGCTCTTCAGTCTGGGATTACAGCATTAATAACACAGTTCCGCGCTTCGTGCCATTTTTAAGCATGATCGTTATGATAAAGGGCATATACTTAATTACAGGCCTGCTTAATTACAGCTCTGTTGACGCTCGTTTGTTTAGGAGAATGCTAATTGCGCTACGGAGCCTGCGGCACATCCTCACTTTCCCTCACTTTCATCTGCTCCTTGTTGCTTCAGTCCATGGATCAGCATTTGTTAAAACTGCCTCCCATGTTTTGTTTTGTTTTTCTCTAAGTAAAGTGAAGAAGGTAGAGGCCTGACACTGAAGGGACACAGCTTCTAGTCAGATATTGGGAGCCCCCATCCCCCCACCCACCCCCGTGCCAGGGTGCTCTCCCCACAGCAGGGCCCTGACTGCTGTTGCCAAATGTGTCTGTTGAGTCTACTCCTGAGCTACTGTAACGTGAGGCCCATTTTACAGACTGGCTCAAAGGTGTGGTGGCACCCGGCATGGACACAGCCAGCAGCCCTCCTTCCACCACAGGCCAGGGTGAGCTTGAGCCCTAGCTCTGTCACAGCCTGAACTTGTGGGTGCTTGACTTCCCTAAAGAGGAAGTTCCCTGCAGAGAGGTTCCACCTTGTACAAGGGAAGGGACAAGGGTCCTTCCTTCCTTCCTTCCTTCCTTCCTTCTCCTCTCTCTCCCTCCCTCCCTCCTTCTCTTCCTCCCTCCCTCCCTCCCTTCTTTCTTCCCTTTTGTTCTCTTCCACAGAAGTGACCTTGGAAGGACCATGAGCCTTCCATCTTTCTTCCCATTTCCATCCAAGCTTGGAGGAACTTTTTATTAATGTCACCCTGGGAACCCTACCTGGAGAAAGGACCGATACCTGGTGTCATTCCTGATTCTGCGACACGGACATGCACGCAGTTTGATGGGATCAGGGAGTAGCCGTGCCCTATGTCTTGCTGGTTGGCAGGGCACAGTGACCCTGTGAACCACTTCCTCCAGAGGCCCTGAGTAGGGTCAGTGAGAGGCTGGCATCTAGGGCAGAAATCCATGCCTTCACTCTAGAATAGTCCCTGGCTGGAGAAGGAGGGAGGAAGGAAGGGAACAGAGCTCCCTGTGAGGGGGGGACAGAAATGATTTATGAGCAATCTTGGGGGATCACATGAAAAATGTTTGCCATCATTTTTTAAGGATTATGTTTGTCAACAAATTTTCAAATATAGAAGGCCATCCAGATAAGGCTCCTAAGAATGGATGCTGTTGAATCAGAAGGGGCCTTCCCTCCTACAGCCAAACTTTAACACACACACCCTGCCCAGGCCCCAGCCAGTATCAATGGATCTGCCTGTTTGCTTTGTGCAGTGTATCTTCCAAGGGGAAAATGGGCAACTCCCTCCATTGGTCCAGCCATCCCTTCTCCCTGTGGCTGTGGCTTTCTGGCAGATAGGAGCTTATGCCCACCTCGAACCTTCTCTTATCCAGATACAAGCCCTACCCTGACTGCTCCCCATGTCAAATGCAGTACTGGGTTGCTGGGCAGAGTCCCACCTCCCTGGGGCAGCAGAACTAAGTCTGCCTCTGCATTTCCATCTAGAGTTAGCTTAGGGTCCCACAATGACCCCCTCTCTTCAAGGTTCTCAGGATGATCATAGGAGAATATCATACAAGCTCAGAACAGACAAAGCGGCACTTGGATCCTGTGGGCATGCTGTGGCCCTATGACCTTGCCATGTTCAGTAATCAAATCATATTGATGTGTGTCCAGCCATCATCCAAGCCATGTCCCCTTTTGTTACTGTGCATGTCTTCCATTCATCCTGTACAGCTGGACCTAAACTCTAAGGTGTTACATTGACCCTGATAAATTCCATGCTCTGATATATCCCAGATGTCAACGTCTGGGCCCTTCATCAGATTTCACTGTTAGCCAATTAACAATCATTCCTACTAGGTCCCTATCGGCCACATTTCCCTTAAACATCCCATGTTTCTCCTTACATAACCGGTGAGGCCAGACCCCCTCCAGAGCAGGTGGTTAATCTGCCTCTCCAGTGCTAGGCTGCGTCACATGGAAGGGGGATGTGGATGCTGCCACTGTGGAAGACAGATGACAATTTTGTGGTGTCATTTCCCTCTTTCTACCTTTCTGTGATTCTGCGACTCAAACTCAAGTTGTCAGATTTGTTCAATAAGCAAAAGCACCTTTACCCGCCATCTCACCAGCCCCTACTATGTGGTGTGTGAATGTTTGCCTGCGTGCCTGTCTGTGTACCATGTACAGTGCTCATGGAGGCCAGAAGAGGGTGTTGGATCCTCTGGAACTGGAGTTACAGCTGCCATGTGGGTGCTGGGAATGAAACCCAGTGTCCTCAGCAAGATTTTAAGCACTGAGCCATCTCTCCAATGCCTTGCCCCCAACCACACACACACTTCTTTAAATGCCATTTGGTCAGTAAGTATGGCCTGGAGGTTCTGTGTGCTGGCCATTCATTCCTCTTAAGCTTTGCCCTCTGGTTCTACCATGTGGACTAAGATCTGTTCTCTAAATAAGAGGAACGTCTGACTGCCCAGCCTCCTCTTGTGAGTGAGACCTCTTTACCAAAGCGACCTCAGTCACTTTACCAAATGGCTTCTTGCAGTCAGGGCTGGGCATAAGGGGCTTCCCTCTCTGCTGCCAGTGCAGGCAGGAGTGTATCTGCCACTACTGTCCTGTGGCCACCGCCATCATGCACCCTCATGTTTCTCACAGTGTGGAACACTCCCGGCTGTCTAGGCCCCAGAGCTCCCATGAGGCTCCAGGTGAGGGCTTCACTGTAGAAGTGGGTATGGAGAAGCTTCAGTAGCCCCTGTGTGCTGGTGGGAGCGGCGCTGTGCACACACCTGTGTCCATGTGTAGGAAGATATGATCAATATCTGTGTCCAAGCATCATAAGTCAGGGCTTCCTGGGCACTGCCTCCTGCCTGTGTGACCTCTGGAGCCTCGGTTTCATCATCTCAAAATGATCAGAAGTAATGAGAGGGCCCTGGGCCCAGCAAGCCTTTGACATCAAAGCACACAAGAGCCATGTGGGACTTAAAGCTCACGTTGGGTGGTCAGTGGCAGAAGCCAGTGTGGCCTTTCTGAAACTGGACTCCTTCACTCCCTGACAAGCTTGTGGCTTTCCAAGGATCCTTCAGTCATGGTCCTGTGTCTGCTGTGATAGGTTTCCACATGGTGTTAGGGTATTTGCGTGCCGGGACTTTTTCCATCCTTCATGCTAGTATCACATCATGCCAGCACTCAGCCTCTTCTCTTCTAGGTTGTAGGGCCCAACTGCAGTGGGAGATGGTCCCTGCTACAGGTGTTTGTTGAAACTGGAAGACACGCCCGGGAGGAGGTCCTGCAGAAGGGGACTGCCCTGCTTTGTTCTCTCCCTCCCTGCAGTATTACAGACACAGCTTAACACACACTGTGTGGTACATCTTATAGATCAGACGCCAGGACTGGACTCCACCCCATCCCTCCTTTCCACTCCTGCTTCTCTTCTGCCCCAACCCTGAAAACTGGTCACAGCATTCGAATACCAAGGAAACCTTCATTTTAGGAAATGGGAGGGGGAGGGTGCCACAAGCCACCCTCTTACTACAGGCTGCAGGTCCCTACACCAAGGGTCAGATGTGTAGGCTGGATTTTACCTCAGCTCTATCCTGACTCTTTGAGACACCACCTCAGTCAGCAGCCCAATTGTTTGTCCATCGGTCACACTGTGACCCTGCATCACACACTCCTTCTCTGTGGAAAGATTGCCACCAGTTTGGCAGTGGAAATCTAGATAGGTAGATTGCAGGGAGTGTGGTACAGAAAGGAACTGAGTGTCTGGACCCTTGCATTCCCCCATTCACAGGCTGCTTATCCTACACCCTTCCCCCTCCTGTTGTATTTAAGCACACAGGGCAAGTCTTGACTCAGCCCTGAAGCCTTGACAAGTAGTCAATACCCATGAGCCTATGTTCCCCCTTCCACACATACACTGAGCCAACTCTGCCAGGTCCTGAGCAAGTTGCTGGTACACTTCACTGCAGACCCATAGCATACCCTGCAGCCATTAGCCAAGCTTCATTCATAGGATTTCAGATGCTTACCTCAAGTCTAGGCCAAAACTCAAGCATAGTCATCCTTACCACCAAACTACATGTCTTTCCATGGAGACCCTGATGGGCACTCAACACTGCCCGAGAGAGATGATGGATCAGCCTACAGAATGTACAATGGACACACTTTTGCTAGCTTCTTCCCAGAATGCACCTCTGTTCCCTCCTAGCCATTCATCACTTTCTTCCTGCTAACAGACCCTTGGTGGCTCCCATCACTTATGGCATGGGCTAGGGGTGGGAGAGGACTTCCTTACCAGCCCTGTGCTACTCCCCCCATCAACTATCCCTGCCTCACTGTCTATACTCAGAAGATCCGTGAGAGGTGTCTGCATCCCTGAGTAGGCTGTGGTCTAGGATGTGGTCCCTGGGAATGATTCCACCCTGTTCCATTCTGTAGCTCACTTGGATTGTGCAGTACCTGCCTCCAGCCAGGGACTGATTGGTCCTCTCTGTACTGACATGTTAGGTTCTTGGGCAGCAATGGTGTCTTAATGTTTGCCTATCCTTTCTTCTCTTGCAGCAATGGATGGTGTGCCTTTTATGATTTCAGAGAAGTTTTCCTGCATCCCAGAAAGTGTAAGTGTTATGCATGATCCCCTCCCCCTCTCCCTCCTGAACTTGAGTCCCTCAGTACCTGTGCTATATGAGCTGCTCTTAGCACCCTGGAACCCCCTGAGCCTGGGGAAGCCTTTCTGCCCAACTACCAAGAGCTGGGATGCACTCTGCTCATCTCTGGGCCCTTCAGCTGGGGCCTGTACCTAGCAAATGCTTGAGAAGTGGAAGAAAAGAGCAGGTAGGGGCCAAGATTCTGGAGACACTAAGCAGATGTGTTTATAGGACCATGTTTCTGCATTTGAGCCTTGTCTCACTTTGTTTCCCAAATTGAGCCTGGCCAGTCTAGCTGTTTGCTTGCTTGCTTGCTTGCTTGCTTGCTTGCTTGCTTGCTTGCTTGCGGCTCTCACTATGCCTGACTGGCGTAGAGCTAGCTCTGTATACCAAGCTGGCCTTGCACTCACAGAGATCCACTGCTTCTGCCTCTTGAGTGCTGGGTTTAAAACATGCACCACCACAACCATTGTTAATGACTTTTTTTCATATAGCGATGGCTGGCCTGGACTCACTAACATAGATCAGACTGTCATCAAATTCAGGCCCACCTGCCTCCTCTTTCCTGGTGCTGCTCTAACACGTGGCCTTAGCTTTTTTTTTTCATGGTGATGGAATTGGCTCTAGTTCCCCACCATCATTGCAGTGTTCTGTGTGTACTGCATATTCTACTGTGTCTCTGCTCAGGTTGAGCCCTGAGCCCTCTTGAATAACAGAGGAACTAGGTGAGCCCACCAAGAGCAAAGGTCAGTTCCCAGATCATGCAAATTGCCAATGCAAGAGCCCTGTACTGAGCTCTGTGCCCTCCTGAAGACATTCCTCTGCTGGTGCTTGGTCCTCTCAGCTGCGCAAGCCTGGGCCACACTGGGTCAGTAAACTTGTTTCTGGCTTTTATCCCTCCTGTAGAAGATTGCTTTGAGGCATCTCTAAACACCAAGGCCCTAGTTTGGCCCAGTGAAATACCCCTTCAGTGTTTTTCTTGGACCCAGTTTAAAACCACCCGGCTGGCGATCCGACCTACTCTGTCGTTTCCATTTTTATGAAATATAATAGGCCTCCTCTGAGCCCTTCTGGTAAGCAGCTTAATCGTGAAAAATGCTCCTGACGTGACATGGGGAGCCTGAGGAACTTCCGCAGACTCCACTTGGCTGCGTTGCCATAGAGACGCTGGCACCTCTCCCACAAGCTCCCTGGGAGAGGCAACTCTGCCCTGCTCACCAGCTCCAGTTGGGAAAGTTTAGTGGAATAGTTAGAGCCTAATGATGCAACAGCTGGACCTCTGCTGGCTCCTGGGCCAGGCGGGCAGGCAGCCCCATCCTCACACCATGAAGGCTGGCATCTTCAGCATAGCCAAACTATTTTGTGGCTACTGGTAGAGCGGCCCCAGGAGCTCAGGGCCTAATTTGGTGGCCCTATACCAAGTTTGCCCTCACAATGCGCTACTGCCAATTCAGCAAATGCTCAAGGCCACAGATGCAGGCCAAGCCCAGTGTTAAGCCCTTCCAAACACTTTTCTGTTTAATCCCCCTGCAGCCAGACCAGAAGGGCCCACCCATGCCACTTTTAACAGGTTTTAAATGTGGCTTTTAAAGTAAATATGAGAGGGCATCCAGATGCCTCAGCAAGTAAAAGGGCTTGAAGCAAAAGTCCAATCACTGGAGTTCAATCCCAGGAACCCACATTAAAAAGCCAGATACAGCGTTGTGCATGTGTAATCCTAGCATCCCTAAGATGTGGGAGTTGTGAGCCAGCTGGCCTAGAGTAAGTACAAAGGTAGTAGAAACAAGAGAAACCCTGCCTCAGCAAGGTGGAAAGAACCAACTCCTGAAAGTTGCCCTCTGACCTACACATGTTGTGTCCTCACTCACACTCTAAAAATATGCTGAATAAATAGAGACTGTTAACCCATCCTGCACCACAAGGCAGCCAGTTTGGAATCCAGAGCCTTGGACTGGAGAGCTAACCTCTGGCCACCTGCCATGAAGGACATCCCTATAGCCCAGTACAGGTGCTAGCTCCCCACCCACTGCAGGGCTCTGGGTCCAAACCAACAAAGTCCTGGGTTCTGTTGGGATCTCAGGCTCTACCTGACAGCTAGGCTGCAGGAGGCTAGCCTACTGCTGCTCCTAGATACCACAGAATGAGTGTACCTGGAAAAATTCTGCATTGGTGGCCTCACAGACAGCGAGACGCATGTGCTACAGCCCAGGAACTTGCAGCTGACTCTCTTAAGCTCTGAGTTTGCCTGGAAATGTCCCATTGTCCACAGAATTAGAGAGCCCCTATTAATGTGCAACAGTACCACTTTGCCACCCTTGACCTTGCAAACCATTAGCTGGTGGATGATTAGTTCCTTCTTCTGTCATTGTCAAGAGATCTGAAATCCACCAGATCTTTCCCTAGATCCTGCAGGCCCTTAGAAGTCCTTAGACCTCCCACCACTATGCAGAGACAGCAGGCAATGTGGCCTCTGGTTCCTGCTTCAGACTCTTCCAGCCCATATCCCATCACAAAAGCATGGGTCTCTCTAACTTTCTCCTCAGGAGAGGAGATAAGCTAATGACCACAGGCACACCTTCCAGGAGGCCATCACACACACACACACACACACACACACACACACACACACACACACACACACACACACACACACCAGTGCTATGGATGTGTGACAAAGGAGTCTTGTGATACAGAAGGCTCAGCCCACCATGTACTTTTTGATTTCTCCCTGAACTCGTAATGACTGAGTAATACAATGTCCATTCCTGTGGGAAGGACAGCTTGAACATCACAGCTGTCATAAGAGAAAGGGGACATTTCCAGGCATCAAGAAGGGTGATTTGGTCTATTTTCAGATGCAGCCTTTTGATCTCTTGGGAATCACCATCAAGTCCCTGGCAGAAATTGAAAAGGAGGTAAGTACACTGGGCATGCAACACTGCTCACTCCATCAGGGTTCTGACCCAGAAAAGGTGGATGCAAGAGCCCTTCTGAGGGAAAAACCAGTGAGTCACTTTGAATACACTCATCACTTGCCACAAACCATGACAAATGCCTGTCCTCTCTCTCATCATTTGCCACCAGGACCATCTCAGATTTGACCAACTCTTGACCCAGAGGAGTAACTTAGGCCCCTCACCCCTCATACTTAGCCAGATGGGCCCCCTCCCCAATTTGGCAGGCTGGTTTGATGACATCTGAGCATCATAAGAAAGACACCAGGATCAGGGTCCAAAGAAAAGTTCCGAGGAGACAGGCCTGAAAGAGTGGGGTCCCACAGGAGGCCACTCCTGCTAGGATTGCCCCTGTTCATGGGCCTGCATCAGCGTGCCTACCCTCTATGTACAGAAGAATGCCACAACCGCATGCTGCCACCAGAGCTCCTCAGAGAGGAACATTTGTCTCACAGATGGAAATGGCAGAGCCATTTCAATATCCTTGGTTCCTTGGGGTTTTTGCGTATGTACCCAGCCAGCAGAAGCAAGCTGCATTATTGAAAGATGGCTGGAATCAAGGAAAATTGAATCAATGCAGTACAACAAATTCCTAAACCTGTCAAAGCAAAAACAAGATGAAAAACTCCCCCTTTGTCTTTGATTCTCAGTAAATCATAAAAACATGATTGTCACCTATACTTTTGTTTGCTTGCTTGCTGGCAACTGGAGAAATGGCTGGCCAGGATGCTAGAAATCTGGATGTGGTGTAGAATTTCATATCTGCCCTTAAAATGGTCTTGCAGTCTGCCTGCTTGTGAACAGCCTTTGCCAGCATAGGGTGGGTCTCCACGTGGTATGGAGCCTGTGGGTACCCAGGGGAGGCTTTGAAAAGGTGGCTGCTCCAGCAATGCTGGAGAACAAGATAGACCAAGGTCACATAGAAGTTGGAGCAGCCTGGTAGACCACCTCCTGGTCTCTGTAGGGGTAATGGGGGAACCTGTCTCTGAGGGTATCAGCCAGTGTTGTGTGCACAGACAGAAAACTCTGGTGGCAACAGGTACCCAGTGCTGGGATTAGATGCTACAGAAAGGGGCATCCAAATTTCCACCCCTCCCAACCACCCCTGCCCTTGGCCTTGACAGTAGCATCTTTTTCTTACAAAAATGATTTCCTATTTGGGGCTATCTTGTTCTTATCCCAAGTGACCAGGTGACCTCTTTCCTCCTTTGTATGGGGCAAAATTGAGGCCTAGCCTTGTCCTGTGGCTGGAAGCTCCTCAAAGGGGGATCTCCAAGCTGGTGGGGACAGTGGGTCCTTGGGAGACCAGTCCACCTGGGCCCTGGGTCTGTGAGTAGGCAAGACCCTGTTGTCAGGCTGAGGATGTGAACCAAAAATGTAGGTTCTCCCTCTGCTCCAAGGACTGGTACCTGGCCAAGCATATACTTAAGGTGTATTTTCTTCACCTCATCACTGAGTTGGGGTGTGGCTTCCCCCAAGACACAACACTGGGTGTTCAGGACAGCTCTGAAAGGAGTTTGTGGGCTTGATCCCAACTCTTCTGATTGACTTTTCTGAGCCTCGGTTTCCTTTTCTGTCAAATGGGGTCGTGATGGAAATAGCAGCCACGCTTACTGGGGCTCTTCTGAGATGGTGGGGTTTGAGCAGGGCCTGAACCTGCAGAGATGGCAGCATCATCATTGCCAGCACCTGTCACTACTGGTCTCTCTTTTCCTGGGGCAGGGGCAGGAGGCAATGTCTGCCCTGCCCATTCTGGTCAGCGGCTGAGGGATGCCATCTTATTTTGTTTCTCACTGTTAGTCTTGGAAGGAAACAGGCCTGTATTTGCTACTGAATTATGAAGTTGCTCTAAGGAAGATGCAGAAAGGGGTGGAGCAGCAAGTGTTGGGAAATGGGTATAGAAGCATAGCATAGCAAGGGTCACCATGAGTGGCCCAGCATCTGTCACTGAGGAATTGAATGTCACCTACATTTGCCATCCATGTGCTTCATGTCATAGTTTTTAGGGCATCACTGCCCATACTCTGAAGGACAGTGCCATCCTCTGCAGCCAGTTCAGTGAGTTCCCTGGGAGCAGCTTGATGTTCCTCTTCTAATCCTGACCGTGGCATTGCTTCTATGACACGGGGACCTGAGAAGAGCCCTCTGCCATGGCCTATGTCCGGTGTTGGGCCTGGAACTGGCTGTTAGAGCAGGTTTTGGTGTCGTTGGGAGCTAACATGGTGTTGTTTGGGTCAGGACGTTTGGTTCTTTCTCAGTTTCTGATGGCCTGGCTGGCCTTGTGAAGGAGCCCAGGGTCTGTTGAAAGTGTTCTTTGCTCACTGTCAGTCCTGTTTTATACTTGTTAAGCCACACCCCCCAAACAAACAAAACAAAAAATATAGGGTATTTAAGGCAGGCATTGATTTATTTCATGACAAGATGAGCCTGATACACAGTGTGTACAGGTCAGAAGACAATTGGATAATCTGTTCTCTTCTTCTATCACTTGAATTCCAGAGCTAGATAGAACTCAGGTTATCAGGCTTGGCAGCAAGCCTCTTTACCTAGTGAGCCATCTCACTGGCCCAGATTACCACCTTTCAGTTTGGAGCACAGGCTGAAGACCTGAACATCTAGGATCCTGCCACTAGCTGCTCCTCACAGTGGAAACAAGGTGTCTGGGAAGGCACTTCCTCTGTGGGCAGAAATGGTGTCCAGCCATACTGCAAGAGAAACCTGCACTGAGGTCAAATGAATAGCCAGAGTCCCTGGCAGGGACGAAGCTATCAGCAGGTGGTCCCCTTGAAAACAAGAAAAGTGTGGCCTCATGAGTATATCCCTGCCCCCTGTCCTGAGGGGGCTCAGCTTGAAGAAATAGTGTCCATCCCTGAAGGCAGCTGGTCAGTCTGTCCATCTAACATCAGGCTGAGTGTCTTAGTCACTGTCCTATTGCTGTGAAGAGAAGAAGCCATGACCACGGCAACTTTCAGAAGAATGCATCTAACTGCTGGCTTGCTTACAGTTTCTGAGTTAGTCCATGACCGCCATGGCAGGGAGCACAGGTAGCAAGGAGACAGGCCTGGCACTAGAGTGCAAGCTGAGAGCTCACATCGATCCACAAGCTCATGGCAGAATAGCAAGACAGGGCCACCCCCAGTGACACACCTCCTCCAATAAGACACAACTCCAAATCCTTCCCAAATTGTCTCGCCAACTAAGGCCCAAGCATTGAAATATATGAGCCTGTGGTGGCCATTCTCATCCAAACCACCTCGCCGAGCACACATTCCTGCCACCCCAGCTAGTCATGGGGATTTTCTGAAGCTGAGCCCAGCCCTGTCTGCCACAGAGCTGCTAGACCTGTCAGCCTAACAACAGTTAGGAATGATGCTAAGGAATCTCAGGTAAATGCCAGCACCAAAACATATACTAGCACTTGCCCTAGTGGTACCACAGCCTGGACTGACACTGAGTGACACATCGCCGGAGGGACAAGGGCACCTGGTGGTGGATGGGCAGGACATGAGAGTACAGCGCTTATCCTGGTAAACAGGGAACACAACGCAGCATGTCTGACTGGCAGCCGAACTCAAACCCCAGGTGTCCACAGATTTCTTTCCCACTGTGCTGATGGCCGAGATGACATGGTATTATGGACAGGACATTGGGGAATCTTTGTGGCTGTGGTCAGGTGCCATTTGTTGATGGTGAAGATACAGGATATTTTTATAGGCAGGGCACAGGTGAGCAATGTGAATGTCTGTGGTCAGGTACCACATGTTGATAGAGGTGATACAGTATCATGAACAGGATCTGCCTGTGTTAGGTGTTAGATGCCATATGTACCCATAGTTGGGGTTCTTGATTTGCTTGTTTGTTTGTTTGTTTGTTTGAGACAAGGTTTGTAACTCTGGCTGGTCTTGAACCCACAGAGATCTGCCTACTTCTACCTACAGAGCTGATAGGATTATTCACCACCATGCTCAGACCTCAGACAAGTCCCTTTGCCTCTCCAACCCCAGCTGGAGCACAGGCCTCATGGACCAACCCCATAGTGTAGTGTCACTCTGGGCACCCTTAAGTTACAGGGAGAAAAGTGGCACTTAAAAGTTACCGTCAGAATATGTGCCGTGCCGTCAAGCAGCACCGTGGCAGGGAGCAGCAACCAAGAAGACAAAACCCTCGACATCCAGGCAGACAATGCGGCGTGGGTGGAGAAGTGAATGAAACCATGATTAATACAGTCACTCAGCCCGGAAGGCCCGCACTCCCAGCTCTCAGAGATTTGAAACAAGCTCCTGTCTGCCCGGCTTCACAGAGGTTCTTGGCAGGGTTCTTGTCAATTAGGTCACGGTCATAGAGTGGATTTTGCTTCTTCCCTTCCCATGGGAGGCGACCAAGGAGTCACAGCAAGGCTTTCTGCTGTGTTGCAGCTTGTCTTCCATCTTGTTTTCTTGCCTCTGAGGGAGGGTGGTGTGGGGCTACCGTCCTCACAAAGCCATGCTGTCCCCCACCCCCGCCCTAGCAAATGCTGCTCCGTTGAGGAAAAGGAAAAATGCAATTCCACAGCCATCCATGATGAAGCATCTTCTCTCCGAGTGAGTAGATGGGCATATAAATATTCCTCGTCTCCACAGCTCTTTATTTCCCTTGTAAGCAGTTCCCCCATTTCTCCGTCTGATGGATTCCCTGTCACAGCCAGGGTGGGTGTGCCCCACACTCTCTCTCCAGTCACCTCCTCAAAAAACATCCCTGCCCTAGCTGCCTGCTTCCTCTGTTTGCCCCCACTTACCTATGCTGCCATGGACTCTCACCCCAGCCAGACCAACCCCACACCCTTCTCCATCCCAGGTCTCACGGGCCAAGAGACAGTGCCTTGAAGGTATGCCTTCCCTGTAGTGGAAGGGCATGGACAATGGAAAAACCAGTCCCTCCAGGCTCAGTGTGAACCAGCTCACCCAGGACCCATCTTGGGGCAC